CATGCATGCAAAGCAACAAACAGCTGCAAAGCATGTTAACAACAATGCCAATTGATGAACATGCAACAACATGTGAGTGCAAACAGTGACAACATGTCAAGTCAATCTAAAAAGAATGCACGCAAAATGCATTACAACTTTAAGCATGCCAACAACATGGTCATATGATTAAGTACACAACAAGGCATAATGAACTAGCATGCTAGCAACCATGAATTTACCGAATATGCAACAAAGTATGTTGAAACATATAGGCAAGCATGCAACGAACATGCGGGGATGTGGTCTTAAAACGAAAATGGGCAGCCTCTTCGAATAAGCCAAACAGCGGCTCAGTCAAGAATGGAGGCATGCAAAATGTAAGAACAATCATGTACAAGTGAGGTCCAACACTTAGGCAACCAGCACAATCCTTAAAGCATGAGCAAGTATGATAAATTTAGAAATGACAACGCATTAAGCTTGAAATATTGTGAAGGAAATGATGCCAAATCAACTAATAAAGTAAGCAAAGCTGCAAGAAGGTCCAAGCCTAGGCTACACCAAGGGCCTAAACATGGCTACATGAAGACAAGCCAAAGGGACAAGGGACTAAAACAGTCCAAATCAAGCTAAAGTGAGGCTAAAACATGCAATGACAAAAGCCAAAATACAAAAGAAGGAACTACACCTAATTAACAACATGACAGTGATTTTAGCAGTTCAAAAACAGAGTTATGACATGTCAAAATGAGCCACAAAAACCTCACTTAGATGTGCCTCAATGAATCTCCTAAGCATGAAAACATACGCAATGATCCGTTTAAGAAGCATAAAAACAAACTCTTTAAGACATTAAAGGAGTGATAAGTGTAAGTTTATAGGCATGAATAGTAGATGTAACATCCTAAGTGATGCCAAACCACTGAAATGATCCACATAGAGCATGCTCAATTTGGACACTCAAAGCCTACAAGCTAGATTACATGGTAGCTATACAAAGAAGTCATGATGATCAAGAAGACCAAAATCTAGAGATTCAAGCATGTACAAGCAAAAGCTTCTATGGAGTTAGGCCAAAACATGTAAGCATAGTAGTCTAAATGCTAGGTACATGTTAAGGCAAATCATGGGGTTACAAGACAAGTATACAAAGCATGCATGGTATGTTTGAACCAAGGCAAAACAGTGCTAATACTCATCAGAGCAACTACAAGCTAAAATTAATATGGGGTGCTCATGAAGTGACCTTCCCCAATCGTACCCAAGTTCCCGAGCCGAGGTAACTTTGGTGATGACGGACACGTGGCCTTAGGCACGAGTCAGGATTTCCTAAGTTCCCTCCAAAATAAAATATTTAGGTGGTGACTCTGTATCTGGCAAAGCAGTCCATGTTTGGCACTTCTTTCTTAAAAATCAATTTTCCAAAACGATTTGCCGGATTTGGACTCTTTGATGATTCATCGGTCTTGCGTTGCACTCTGCGAGATTAGATACAGGACCGTGACAATGAGTCCGAACTGTGGAAAAGCAGTAAGCCCATGAGGGTGCGTCCACAGAGAGGTAGAAATACCTAATCCAGAGGATAATGTGGTAATACATCCTGTGGAAGTACCTATCTTATCAGAACCTATAGTCGAACAGACCAGCACTTTGGAGTAAGTACCACATGTTCAAAATATTAGACGAGGCCATGGAGTTGGACCATCCACTGTTCCATCTACGCAGCCAATAAATCCATGGGGAGGCCTAGTAGATGCCATGGGACAGCAATTAATGAACACAATGGAAAGATGGACAATATCCTTTATGGATCGAATGAATACTCATCAACCAACTAACACAAGGCATATGGAGGAAATTTCAAATGTCCCTCAGCACAGATTGGCTAGAGATAAATAGCCTATGCAAAATAATGGACATACTAATGGACAAACTAGTAATCAAAACTATGAAAGACCATCTCCTTAGCCTTGGTATGAGTCTCTTTCGAGGCCTATGACAAATCAAAATGCCTCATTACTTAACAGTGAAACCATGCAAATTGGTAGATCTGGGCCAACACGAGAAAATGGCATAAGGATGTTTCCAAATCCCATGTTCGAAGCCATACCTGGCATGATGGGGTTCACTAATTCTTTGTTCGAATTTGTACCCGGGGGGTTGGAAGGGTTTCCTGTAACTGGAAGAGACACAACACCTGTTCCAGCACCTTTCGCAGGACAGGCTCAGAGGGGTCACCCATTCCCTCAACAGCAGCTAGCACCACATGGACAACTAGTCCCAAATATACCTCCCTATGGACCAAGAGGACCTCAAGCACAAGGTTTTCCACCAAATCCTATGTTTGTTCCTCCAATGGTGGTTCAACAAGCACAAAATATGGTCCCTAGGGACTAAATTGCTGATATTGTGAGAGAAATGTGTGGACTTATGGCTCGGGGGGTTCAAACTCTTGTATATAGGAAACCATATC